ATAAAACAGCCACAAGAGAATCAGAAGAACTGGGTTACGAATACTGGGCAAAATTAAAAACCAAACAATTGGTCAGCAAATATTCATCGGCAGACGGCAGAAAGTAATAGTGCAATTAATAACAAGACAATTGTTTATAAATATTGTAAGAAACTAGGTCATGAAGTTGGAGTATGCAGGAAATTAAAATATAACAATGAAAAAAGAGCTGGTCAAGCGAATTCAAGTTCAATGACAGAACCATCAACTTCGGGAAACGAGACAGGGTCGATTCAGAACGGCGAACGATCGGTCCAGGAAATCAAAGTAACAGCCGTAACATTTCAAGATCATTTAAATTAAAGGCACAACTTTTTAAAGATCACATTATATGTCAAGCTAGGGAATTCGTTAATCAGAAATCAAGATTTTTACTTGACACTGGTAGCGAAGTAAATATAGTAAAATTATTGTCATTAAAAGACGACGTAAAAGTTAACGAAAAAATTTTATATCGATTAAAAGGGATTAATGAATATTTTGTGAACACAATTGGGTCAGTAAATATAATGGTAAATTTTGGAGAAGAAAAAAGACAAGTAAGGTTTCAAGTTGTTAACAATAATTTTCCAATACCTCATGATGGAATTTTAGGTAAAGAGTTTTTAGAGGATAACAAGATAGCAATTGATTATGCAAAAAATGAAATAACGTCAACACTTACTGAAGACAATTTTACAGTAGTGAATCAAGACATTCCGCATATAGATAATTTAGACATTGCAGTAGTACCACCGAGATCGGAAATGATAATTCCAGTAAAAATCACAGATAATAGAATAAAGGAAAATGATACAGTGATTATATACTCACAAGTATTGCAAAATCGAGTTCAATGTGGTAATGTAATTACTAAAGTGAAGAATCGGCAAGTGTTAACAAAAATTGTCAATCAAAATGAAAATTCTATTAAGTTACAGTCAGTAGATTTGAATAATTTATTATATGAGAAATTTGAAGAAGCGAACGTACAAGTGTGTATTAAAAATGCAGAAGGTCGGAATAATGAAAATCGGTTACAGTTATTGGAGAAGTCGTTAAGATTGCAGCATCTCAATAAGGAAGAATACCAATCATTAAGAAATATATTTAATCAATATTCAGATGTTTTTTTATTAGAAGGTGACAGGTTGGACGGGACATCAGCAATACAACATCGAATCAGAACAACACCCGATATTCAACCGATTTATATTAAACCATATAGGTTACCACAGAATCACAAAAAAGAGATATCAACGCAGGTAGATCAAATGGAAAAAGATGGAATCATTACAAAGAGTACTTCACCTTGGAACGCCCCGTTAATAGTGATACCAAAGAAGGTCGACTGTTCAGGGAAACAAAAATTTCGTATTTGTGTAGATTTCAGGAAATTAAATAATATTACGATCGGAGATGTGTTTCCGATTCCTAATATAAATGATATTTTGGATCAACTAGGCAATTCTAGATACTATACGACCTTGGATTTAGCGAGCGGATACCATCAGGTGTCGGTACATGCAGATGATAGAGCTAAGACATCATTTTCGACAGATAAAGTACATTATGAGTTTCTTAAAATGCCTTTCGGATTAAAAGGAGCGCCGAGTACTTTCCAAAGATTAATGAACACGGTGTTATTAGGAATAAATGGAATAAAAGCATTTGTATATATAGATGATGTTATTGTATATGCTCATGATTTAAGAGATCATAGTGAAAAGTTAAAGGAAATTTTCCAAAGGTTCAGAGATTATAATTTAAAGGTACAACCTATGAAATGTGAATTTTTGCGTCACGAAGTTATATATTTGGGTCATATTATCACAGAACAAGGATTGAAACCAGATCCATCAAAAATTTTGAGTGTAAAAAATTTTCCAGAACCAAAGAACCAAAAACAATTGAAAAGTTTTTTAGGACTATCAGGATATTACCGTAGATTTATAAAAAATTATGGTAAGATCGCAAAACCATTAACCATATTGTTGAAAAACGATACACTGTATGATTGGACAGATCTTTGTCAACAGGCATTTATAACGTTAAAAGATGCGTTGGTGAGTGAACCTATTCTTAGTTATCCAGATTTCGATAAACCATTTAATGTAACGTGCGATGCAAGTAACTTTGCAATTGGATCAGTTCTTTCACAAGGTCCAATAGGGGAAGATTTACCAATCGTATACTCATCAAGGGTACTGAATAAAGCAGAACAAAATTATGGTACGACAGAAAAAGAGTTATTAGGTATCGTATGGAGCTTAAAACAATGAAGACCATATTTACTGGGAAGAAAATTTTATATATTGACAGATCATCAGCCTCTTAGATGGTTGGTTTATCACAAGAATCCAGGATCAAGGTTGATGCATTGGAGATTAGCAATGGAGGAGTATGAGTACGAAATCATTTATAAACCAGGCTTATTAAATACTAATGCTGACGCTCTCAGTAGAATACCACAAATTATGCAAATAGAAGGGGAACAAGTAGTAAGCAGTGCAACATATAATGAATATATGGAGTATATTAAGACAAATATAGTCCAAAACTTAAATATTATAGAAGTAGCAGGTGATATTTTTGAAGACGAACATTCACATCTCGTACATTATGTATCACGGGAATTGACGTTAAAAGAAGAATTGGCACTGGAATTCCGAAGACGATTCGGGAACCTGGAAAGTAATCAAAATAAAAAAGTTACAGATTTAGTATATTTCAAAGAAGGTAATCGTTATATAATATATATGATTTTATCAGAGAAAGAAAAAAGTCCAATTACTTACGAAAATATGTATAATTGTCTACAGAATTTAAAAACATTTTGTTTAAACAATCAAATTACAGATTTAGCAGTATCAAAAACAGGTGATCAAATTTTTCAGCTCGATTGGGCAACAGTAAGAATAATGATAAGACATTTGTTTAAAGGCACTAGTATAAAAATCAAAATATTTACACCGAATGAACTTACGGATCAAGAAAAAAGAATTATTATCAAAGAAATGCACGAGAATCCTTTGGCAGGACACAGAGGGATTTCAAATACAATAAAAAAAATTAAAAAACGGTATAATTGGCCAAGAATGTCAAGAGAAGTAACAGATTATGTACAAAAATGTCAGTCATGTCAAAAGAATAAAACTTCGAATAAGCATACAAAGCAACCGATGGTTATTACTTCCACGGCAGACAAGCCATTCCAAAAAATATTTATGGACATAGTAGGACCACTTCCTATTACACACAAAGGGAATAAATATGTACTGACAATGCAAGATGATTTAACAAAATTTAGCATTGCGACACCTATGGTATGCCATGAAGCTAATACTGTAGCGCATAGTTTTGTGAACTCATTTGTTTGTATACATGGAATTCCAGAATCAATAGTATCTGATCAGGGAACAGAGTTTTTAAGTAAAATTTTTTCAGAGGTATGTAAACTATTAAAAATTTCTAAGTTCAACACAACACCGTATAGACCACAAAGTAATGGAGCATTAGAGAGAAGTCATTCAACATTAGGGAATTATTTGCGACATTATGTCGACAAAGATTTTGCAAATTGGGATGAATTCATTCCATATGCAATGTATGTATATAATACAACAGAGCATGAGACAACAAAATTCCAACCGTATGAACTACTTTATGGATTTCCAGGGAAAATACCTACATCATTAAAGAAGACACCCAAACCTAGGTACAATTATGAGGATTATAATTATGAGATTAAGCAAAAATTTCAACAGTCTTATGAAATTGAAAAACAACGGATAGTGAATACAAAAGAAAATACAAAAGGTCGATATGATAATAAAGTTAATCCACTTAGGCTAAAAATAAATGACAGAGTATGGCTTATGGAAAAACAACAAAAAAATAAATTAGCACAAAAATGGTTAGGACCATATTATGTAATAGCAGAAATAAATAATAATGAAAATGTAACAATCATGAGAGGGAAAAAATTAATTAAAGTACATAGAAATCTATTAAAACTATGTAATCAATAAAATATAAAAAAAAAAAATTAAACTAGTACCTAAAGCAATGATATCTTATTATTACAGGATATCAATCTTACAACCTATCATGGCAACAAATTTGACAGAAAATTATCAGATAAAAGAAATTGAATCACCATCAGGAATTTTTTTTAATCATTTGACAAAAATAAAAACAACAAATTCGAAGTGGAAATTATCAGTCTATGTAAATTTAACCACGTATGATGATAATTTTGAACAAATTAAGAAATTTCAAAAGGAAACGGTAAAACATTGTTTAAAAATTGCAAAAAACACAGAAATTGTTCCAGTAGAACACTTTGTAATTTGGTCGTATTTATGCGAGCAATTTAATACAACAACAACATCATATATCCATGACATAGAGAAAACGCGATAACAGATAAACTATGCAGTTAGTAGAAACGAACGCTATAGAAGAGGATTGATAAACGGAATTGGTAGATTATCAAAAACGTTATTTGGAATATGTTCGGACGAAGATTATGAATTTTTTGATAAGAAAATAAGCGAAATAAGCGAAAAACAAGTTAGGGTCATTCACGATATGCAACAGCAAACGCGGATAGTACAGTCAACAGTACATGAAGTGGACAAAGAAATGGTGAAAATACAACAAAGCGAAACGGCGATAATAAATAATATAAATAAGTTGCATAATACAGCGAACAGAGCCGATAAAAGAATAAATGAAATGGAAGTTAGACAGATAATGAACGAGCAAACTGAGGAGTTAAATGTATTGTTAACACAACATTCATTCCAAACTCACAATCTAGTGGCAATAGTAAATACAGCACAAGTAGGTCATATGCATTCTAGCATTATTTCAGCGACAAATTTTTAGCAGAGTTGCAACAAGTGAGAATACAATTAGATTCGAGAGAGAACTTCGCTGAACAAGTCACAATACAGAATGTACATAAGTTAATGAAAATGAGTAACTTACAAGTAATAAGAGTAGCAGATACATTGATATTCATAATAGCCATTCCGATAGTCGACACAAGAGAGTACCGCCTATACAAGTCAATACCATTGCCTATAAAGCAGAAAAAGTCAGTATATGCGTTAATTCAACCAACGAACAAATACTTAGCCATGTCCGAGGATAATGTGTACTCAATATACATGGATGACATAGAGTTAAGCAAATGTATACATATGCAAGAATATTATATTTGTTCGAACACACAGACGCACTATATTCAAGAAACGGACAATTGTGAAGCGAAATTATTTAGTAGTCAGGATGGAGATGTAATACCGAAAGTGTGTGAAATAAAAGTTACACGCATTCAAAAATTAGTAATACACAAATTAGATAATGAGAATGTTTGGTTGTACACAGCAGAGCAACCAGCGACGATCAACATAGATTGTGCGAGGGGAGAACCAGTGTTGCAAACCTTGAAAAACACAGGTACAATCTCTCTGACGTATCCGTGTCATGCGATAACGAAAGAATATGAGCTAACCCCCACCAGATCGATAGTGACGAAAACATCGTATGATTTCATTCCAAGGGTGAACATAACGGCGAATATGAAACAATATCACACCAGTAGGATAGAGGATGATTTTCCAAAACTGAATAATTCATACAACCCTGATTTTCATTCATTAGCAAATAACGCAAAACAATTAGATTTATTATTAAAGTCACAGGTAGATAATAGTGTAGAATATGTAACTGTGTCTAATATAACATACGTAACAATAGGAATAGGTATAGGGATATTAGTGTTAATAATTGTAATAAGTAAGATAAGTTTTAGCCTATACAAGCAAAATAAAATGTCAATGAATTATATTAAAGCATTAATCAATACAAAATCAGTAGACGACATACAATGCGTAGAAATTAAGTAGATTTAAGATGTAATTATGTAATGATTTATGAATGTGTAAAATATTTGTTTTTTTAAAAAAAGGAAAAAAAAGAATGTAATAAGAAAATTAACTCATGAGGGCATGAGTATTTATTCAACAAGGGGAGTGTTATGGATTAGTATTATTAAACATAGGAAGTAAGTAAGGATGTAGCAGTATTTGTAAAACATTTAGAATTATGAAATAAAATGATTATTGTAAATTAGTGTAAACAGGCACAATCCCGAAAACTGCAAGTAAGCACTTTTATATAGGAGGGATTGTCCTAGATAAGTTTAGATATAAGGAACGTTAAGATGGTAAGACAAGGAGTGGAGAATGGAGAGTGCCATTGTCTGCATATGTTCAGAACGCAATAAACTTTATTAATTGAATAGTAAACGTGTGTGTGTGTACTTTATTTACTAAATCTACCTACAAACTCTACAAGTACGAGGCTACGGTCAACCGACTTGTAACATACCTATACATAATGCATGTATTTACTATAGTACATATAGTAGATAGGTACTTATAAAATTGTAATTACATAATAGATAAGTATATTTATAAAATCAAATAGGCACCTAATGATGTAAAATCCAAAAAAAATAATATGTATTTAATTTTCTGTATTTAATTAGCTTACCTAAGTCATTTGGCACGAGATTTAGCAGTTACTAGTTACTAGTTACTATACAATATTAATGAAAACAGAAGTTTGTACTAACCGAATATAATAATTAAAAAACGAAAAAAAAAATTGCAGTCTGCTTAGTTAGGCGCACACCGTGTGGCGAATATAAACTATAGACTTTAATATTATATTTTGTTTAAATTAACACGTCAATTCATAATTCGTAATTCGTAGGTAAATGAAAAATTAAAAAAAAAAACAACAGCAAAAGTGTAAAATAAACTCATAGAAAACGTCTAATCAGTGATCAGTTATAATAAACCATGGGAATAATATGACAATGTAAAAGTGTAATAGTGTGCGAGGAGGCTGCCTTCGTCCATGCGGGTATAGCCATTTACGGTTTTCCAACTATTCAACTGATAAACAAACAACAAAATGCATAAGCACAATATAATAATAAAAGTATTTAAGTATAGAATAATATGAGGAGCGATTTGTGCATTCGTCATTCAGTTACGAAACCAATTCTGCGTGTTCGCACTGGTCAGTGTCACTAGCTCCTGGATGGGTGACAATCTGGTTCCCGGGATATCTAATGAAAAATCCTTGTCACACATACACACGTGTTAAGAAATTGGTACAGGCAGGACCCCAGGCTAATGACCGAAGTTTTCGAAGCCTTTAACCCTAATAAAATAATAATAATAATAATATACAATATAATTTTATTTTTACGATAGTAATATTCTGGTAGATCGTAGATACAATACAATTTTCCAACTTATTTCACTCATTGTGATAGTTATAACTTATAAGAAATATAGTTTTATTTATTTACTATCATTATTCTGTTCCAATAGATGGAAACCTTGTGACTGTGTGTAAAGCTTGCTTTTTAAATATTTTTGGTGAAACATCAATGTATTAGAAATATTTGTTATAAAAATTAAGTTCACCTGCTAACAGAAGTTCGCCAGATAAAAGGGGAAGAATAGCTCCAAATAACAAAAAATCTCCTGAAGAAATAAAATTGGTAATTTATCACATTTATAATCACCGTCTTATGAGAGCCATTATTGTCGAAAACAGTAAAAAAAAAATATCTGCCAACACATTTCACATTACAAAGAGCATAATATGATGAGTACAGCCTAACCGTTGAAAAACCAGTTAGTAGATCTCTATACGAAAAATATATTAAGTCTTCAGGTTTAAAGGAAAAAAGTCTTAAAACGGACACATGTGCACAATGTGATAGATTTAAAATTCAACTTTCTAACAGTATATCTCACGAACAAAGAATTAATCTTACTTCAGAGAAAAATAAACACTAAGAGGAAGCAGAAGAGGCACATGAAACTAAACGAAATGACATTACAACAATATCAACTGACACATGTGTATTGTCTTTTGATCTACAGCAATACCTCCCCACTCCTCAATTAAAAAATTCTGTATCATTTTACAATAGGCAGTTATGGACCTATAATTTGACAATTCATAACTGTAAAACGTCAAACGCTTCTTGTTATGTGTGGTATAAGTCGCACAATGATATTAGTTCATGCCTTTTTAATTATTTAAAAAAATTACCAGAAGACATATCTAGTTGTAAGAATGCAAAACACAATTGATTTGACTTGTATATAATTATGTGTTTGTATTCTCACGTAAATAAATTTCAATTAATAAATCAGTGATTGTACAATATTTTCTTTTAAACATCAATGCTCTTCGAGCTACAGATATTTATTGTTATTCAGATTAGATTTTATGTTTTATTAAATAATAAATGTTACAGTATATTCTTTTGTATTCATAGACACTCTTCGAGCTACAGTTAGGTTTATTTATTTGGTGGATAATATAAAGACTCACGTAGATGATAATCGTTCTCCAAGTAATCTGATTCTGTCACCGTAAGCGTATTTCTCTGATGCTGGTACGGGATAGAGCTTAATTGGGTCGGCTGCGTCGGCACACAAGTGGAAATGACAGTAATAATGTACGGTTCAGATAGTGGCAGCGACAATACGAAGTTTACGCAGCGACGACGCGACGTTTAGTCGACAGCGGCAGCTATTAGCAACTCCAACGGCGGCTGCGGCTATAACAGTAACGGCGGCAGTAATAACAGTAACGGTGGCGGTTCTCACAGTAACGGCGGCAGTAATAATAGCGGCGGCTATACAGGGCCGGTTATAGGCGTAGGCAACGTAGGCACAAGCCTACGGCGGCAAAATTTATAACTTTATAGAGGCGGCATATAAGAAAAAATCAAATATCTTATTTTTCACGTTTATTTTAGATTTTAACAAATTCCAAAATACAATATACAAACATATTGTGTAGATCGATAAAACTCCAAAACAATATTCAATAAAAATAATACAGATCATTTTTCCCTGAATTGCGATAACGTCTCAAAGCATGTTGAGCCATTACAATTTAATCGATAATAATTCCATTAGCGTTTTTGCAAATGGAGACTGTTGTGTGTCATTCACTCTCACTGTACAGTGTAGTGTACTAGTGTAGGTACATTCTTTATTGAGCTCAACAATATAATTTTTTTATAAATCAAGACATATACGATATACATCTATCAAGACTTTATTACACAATAGGTAAGTAATATAAATATAATATATTTTTAATTTACTGTTAATCATTATTGGTACCTATAGCGCGTAAATTATTCAATAGTATACGGTCGCCGTTATAGTGAAACTACCGCCCGACAGTTCAATCATAATATTATGTAAAATGGTTAGGTTATGGTTTGACGGATGGCCGGAGGGGGCCAGGGAGAATAAGCTGCGTATTATAGACGCTATTGAAACAGTTCACGACAGTAAATAATATTGCCGTATCGCGCGTCGTTCTTAGTCTTCTTCATAATTGAATGTATTTTTATTTATTTAATAAATTAGAACACGTTAACTACAGGCATAACATCTTCTATCTGATATTTATTGTATTTGTAATTATTTTAAAAATGCAAAAAGACCAAATAATAGACTTTTTGTTAACTAGTGGTTAATTAACTATGTAATACTGTTATATTATAATTAGTTTTTCTTGTCCGTTGTTGTATGGAGTTTATGTTAAATAATTAAAAAATAAAATAATATTAATTAATTATTATCTTATTTATTCAGATATTATGGCTGATGACATAAAAAAGCGTAAACGATTATCAGGTTAGCAATATTTAAAGAAAAGACTAGCACGGGAGAAAGATTTAGTTAAACAAAAAGGTAGTTTACTGAAATGTTGTCAACAAAATAGTCAAGAAAATGTTATTAATGATAATGATACTGATGACAGTGAAGAAAATAGTGGAAATAAAAATATTGAAGATCTAAGTATGGGCGAAGTTGACAATAAAAAAAAAGAACATGACAATGAAAGTAAAGAAGAGATTAATATAACTGAAAAGAATAGTGCCAATTTAAATATTAAAGATATACATGATATAAACTGCAGAAAAGCTGATTTTGACTCTGAAAATGAAAACAAGAAAGAGATTGCTATAAGTACTATAAGTGAAGAAAATAGTGGAAATAAAAATATTGAAGATCTAAGTATGGGCGAAGTTGACAATAAAAAAAAAGATTATGATGAAAAGTACACCAATTTTAAGTCTCTTGATTTTGATGACCCTAATAAATGGCCCTCTATCGATGAAAAATTAAGACTTTATTTAATAGAGTGTGGACCTCGTCAAATAAATATGGAAACATTTCCTATAAACACTAGTGGTAGATTATTTTCATCTTTTCACTATTTTCGACGTTTACCTAATGGTGAACGTATTAAACGTTCTTGGATAATTTATTCTAAATCAAGTGATTCTGTGTTTTGTTTTTGCTGCAAATTGTTTAATATTGGAGTAGTATCTCTTACAACCAATGGTAATAATGATTGGAAAAATATATCAAATATATTGAACAGACACGAGACGTCAAATTCTCATAAAAAGGCATATCAAAATTGGAAAGAATTAGAAACAAGGTGTAAACGTGGAAAAACTATCGATAATATCAATGAAGCTAATTTAAAAATTGAGACAGAACATTGGAAAAATGTACTTAGGCGAATTATAGAATTAATAAAAACACTTAGCAGTCAAAATTTGGCTTTTCGGGGAAAATCAGATAAACTTAATACTTCCAATAATGGTAACTTCTTAAAATTTATTGAATTTTTAAGTAAATTTGATCCAGTAATGAAAGAACACATAAGAAGAATATCATCTCAAGAAATTCATTGTCATTACTTAGGAAAAGACATCCAAAATGAAATAATTCAATTATTGGCGAATAAAATAAGATCTCGCATCATAACTGCATTAAAA